CTGCTTCTTAAAAAAGGAAAGGGTGCTAGGGGCCTTTTGGGTGGCAGATTAGTCTTCTATAAAAGGTCATTTTAGTGGTAAAACCTTACTCAAATTGACTTTACTAACAATTCCTGACATGTCTCTAAGAGAGAAGACATCTAAATTTCAATGTAGTATTAATCCTATTCCTTTGATGCTACAGGTGAGATTAGCTCTATTAGAAGTCACCTAGATCTAGAACCTCTTTATCCAGTAGCTGATTTCCAGCATTATGGGGATTCTAAAGCAAAACAGGATTTGTGTGTTTTATTGCCTCAGGAAGTAAAGCCATTTACTCAGTTCTTTACTCAGAATATCTCCAAATCTACCACAACAGACGCTAATGCTACACTACCAGGGAATAGAGAGAGAACAAGGAAGGGGTACTAACTGGCACACAGTAAAGGGCTGGTTGCTACACAGCACATCCTCGAGACTATCTCAAAGACCATGTTTAAATTTCATTTTACCTGTTTTGAGAACTATACACAATTTGATCTGTTCTACAGACCAGTCCTCTATGTCCAGGGTTTATGCTGGCAGTGGCAAGAAACGACACATAAGTCACTAAATGCCAGTCAGCACACAAAATATGTTCATATACCTGGTTTTCATGTCAGAGGCAGACTAGTAGCACACTGTTTAAAGAGCTTGGGTGTAACCCAAAAGATAAGTGGTTCGAACCCACCAAGAGCACTTCAGGAGAAAGATGTGTCAGTCTGCTTTATAAAGATTAAAGCCTTGGAAATGCTATGGGGGCAGTTCTACGCTGGCCTAGAGTCTCACTAACAGCCAGAACCAGTTTGACAGCAGTGGGTTTGGGGTTCATGTCAGATGATTTCCAGAGAACTAGAGCAATTCCCTCAACACACAAGGCAACAAAAACAGGAAGCTGCTGGGCCCTGTGGCCTTTCTTCTTTTGCTTCTCAATTCAAACACATGGACCAAAACCTAATTTCAGTTCAAACTCGTCTCCCTTTTATTAAGGCCCAAATTACCATTACATAGTTTGGTACTCAATGAAGGAAAACTTGTTCAAATAAGGTAATATGTTATCATCAGTATTTCCAGGTGACTGTTTACAATCAAGTAGCAATACCAATAAATCCTTGGGAAGCCCATCTGTAAGAGAAAACACAAAGAATCATTCAGGAGAGAATAAAGAAAAGGTAGAAGTGTTACTATGACAACGTTCCTAGGAATCACTGCCTTAGTGCAGCCTCTCTGGCGCTTACTCAGTCTTGCCTACAGTCAGCAGCTCACAGGCTTTGTGAATGCTTCATTTATACCAATTATACTTCCTGGGGTAATCTTTTCTGATCTGAAAAAGTATCGATCAGTTACTTTTTTGTTTTGTTTTAAAGAAATAAAAATTCACTACAGATGTTAGCAAAGACTTTCTAGAACTCCTTGGAATACTTGACAAAATAAAAATTCCAAGAGTTTAGATCTCTTAAAAGCCCATTTAGAAACAAGCAATGTAGACCTGAGCTTAAATAGTATAACTAAGAAATCCCAAAATTTGAACACCTAGTTTTCTCCCAGTCATTCAAAAGAATCTTTAATAAACACCCCCGACACCACCACATCTACCTTTCCATATACATTACAAAGATGAGCTATCTGATTGTAAGGAGGTGGTGGTGGTGGTGTCACCGTGGATCCCAAAACCTTGGGTTATTTTTTGCTCAGCTTCTCTAACACAAGTAGGAGGACTGAGCATAGAGATTCTTTTAATTCTAAGTTTTTAAGTATTTCAATAGGTGCTCTCTAGCGATACTCTAACAAAGCTGATTGCTTCTTCATTTTGTGAGGGATCTGATATTAGCAACTTAATTTTGGACTTCTATCGAAAGCTTTATGCATTAGTTTAAAAATTAGCCATTTAGCTTTAGAGAACAAATCCTCTATTAAGCCCCATTAACTAAATGCTTGCATAGGAAGCACAGCACAGTAAGAGCAACTGACTTCAGAGCCACACTGCCCAGGTTCATTTGCAGGTTTCAACACTAGCTGTTTGACAGGCAGCTTCCCTAAAGCTTTGGAAACCCTATGGTACAGTTCCACTTAGTCCTACAGGGTCACTAAGAGTTGGAACCGACTTGTCAGCAGTGGGTCTTTTTTTGATATTTAACCTTGGACAAGTTTTCTCAGGTTCCTCACCAATAAAATGTTATAATTATAATCATAACTACTTCACAGGACTGTTAGAGGGCTAAATAAGTTAATGCTTTCGGAGCACTAAAACAGGGTCTGGCACACAACTAAGGGCTCCACAAACGATATAAATGTTTACTAAATAAAACACAGGAGTTACTGCTTACATATTTTCTATCTTTCAAAGGATTTTTTGCATCTTACTCATTTGCCTGCCACCCTAGACAATTCTGTATAGCTTTCATTACCTAATTTTTGTTTCCAAGAGAACAAGGCATCAAATAAGATTTTATTACAGTAACTGTTAGAATCTCACTTGAATATACAAAAACAACAGCATCATGCTAATATAACCTTGCTGCTAAAAACAAACAGAAATATAAAGACTTTCACAATGAGCACTTCATGTATCTTTGACTTGGGGGCAGGGTTAAAGGTATTGAAATTACAGAAGGGTGCACAGAGGGCTTCAACGCTATCTGAAATGAGTTATTTCTTGGCATTTAAAAAAAAAAAAAAAAATCTAAAGCAAATACGGCAAGATAGCAACTGAAAATCTGAGTGTGGGTATATGGTGGTGGAGGTTATGTGCCGTGGAGTCAGTTCTGACTCACAGTGACCCTGTATAAGGTTTCCTAGGCTGTAAATCTTTATGGGAGCAGAAAGCCCCATCTTTCTCCTGCAGAATTGCTGGTAGTTTCAAACTGCTGACCTTGAGATTAGCAGCCTGACTTGTAACCACTACACTACCAGAGCTCCTTTCTTGGCGTTATTTATTTTTAAATCTAAAGTAAATATGGCAAGGTTGCTGTTGTTGTTGTTAGGTGTCATCGAGTCAGTACCGACTCATAGCGACCTTATGCACAGCAGACCGAAACACTGCCCGATCCTGGGCCAACCTCACTACTGTTGCTATACTTGAGTCCATTGGTGCTGCCACTTGGCCAATCCATTTCGTTGGGGTTCTTCCTCTTTTTCTCGGACACTCCACCCTACCAAACATGGTATCTTTCTCCAGCGATTGGTCCCTCTTGACAATATGTCTGAAGTATGAGAGACGAAGTTTGGCCATCCTGGCTTCCAAGGAGCACTCTGGCTGCACCACTTCCAAACGGATCTGTTGGTTCTTTTGGCAGCCCAGGGCTCTTTCAATATTTTCCTCCAACACCACAACTCAAAAGCACCAATTCTTCTATAATCTTTCGTATTCACTGTCCAGCTTTCACATGCATATAAGGTTACTGAAAATACCATGACTTGGGTCAGGTGCACCTTAGTCCTCAAGCTGACATCTTTGCTCTTCAACACTTTAAAAAGGTCTTGTGCAGCAGATTTGTCTAATGTAATACGTCGTCTGATTTCTTAACTGTTGCTTCCATGAGTGTTGATAATTGATCCAAGAAAAATGAAGTCCTTGACCACTTCAATCCTTTCTCTGTTGATAAGAATATTGTTTTCTGGTCCAGTGGTGAGTATTTTTGTTTTCTTTACACTGAGATGTAATCCGTACTGAAGGCTGCGCTTTTCTTTATTTTTAAAGGTTTTTATTGTGGATAGAGTGAAAGTTTTCAGGGCATATCATCAGTTTTATATTCAACAAATCGTATACCTTGTTTTATTACATTCATTATAATTCCCTTGATGTACCATCAGTTAACAGTATTTCTCTCTATCCACTTTAGCTTTTTAAAAAACAAACAAAAGAAAACCACTCAGGCATATATAATAATTTACATCTCCAAAGGGCACATTCTGCAAGTCTGCTCCTGGCCACCAGCTCTTAGTCCCTCTGTTCTTAGTCCATGAATCTAGAGTCCTCAGCCACTCCCCCTTCACCATGCCCACATCTCTGCCTCCATCTCTGGTGCTGCTGCTTCTCTGGATAAGGTCCTGCATTCTGCTTGTGTGTTCCTCTCTTGATGGTCCTAGGGTCCTCTGTTTCTGGACTGTAAGATTAACTACTCCCCCTTTTTTGTTACAAAACTTCTACCTTTACAATTGTGACAGTTGTGATTAGTCATGATAACAATTATTCACTATTGAAACTTACAAATCTGATCCCCATCTATTTTCACCAGACAAGATGACAGCTATTCAGTGGGGACTCTTTCTTTTCCCCCATACTCTTAAACTAAACTTCCTCTTGAAAGCTTGTATGTAGGCCAGTCACTTTGTGCCTTTATTGCCCACTCATTTTAGGTAGCCAATGTCTAAGTTGCCTGTCCCTATCTACCCTGTGTACAGAGCAGACAGCATTGACACTTGATGTGAAGACTCATACCCTCTCTTTTATTTAGAGTAATCACTGCTCTGAGCATGGTCAGGTTCATCATGAAGCTGTACCTTCTGTCACTGTAGCTGTTCCAGTCTGCTTGTCCTTTTTTAGTGGGAATGTCTCACCTCATAAGGTTCTGGATGGGACTCAGGATTCCACCTAAGGTCCTATACTCTGTAAAGGCTTTGCACAAGGCCTATTTCACTGGGCAAGTTGTAGAACCCCTTTGAGGTATTCCAAGGGCTGTGCTCTTTAGCAACGGAAAATCTGAGTGTGGGTATACGTTGTTGTTGTTGTTAAGTACTGAGTCAGTTCCGGTTCATAATGACCCTGCACAGGGTTTCCGAGGCTGTAAATCTTTATGGGAGCAGAAAGCCTCATCTTTTCTTATTCTTTAAGCTGTTCCTTATGTTTTTATTTTAAAACTCATGTCCACTACTCTAACAAAGATATTAAAAAGACCCTACACTGAAATGTCCCCATGCCATTCCTCTCCTGACTTGTTCCGGGATGTGTTTGTTGATACTGCTTGTTTACCTGGTAGAGTTTACACTTTGTCAAGACCCAGTTCCTCTGGAGTGGAGATCCCCAATTCATTTAAAGTTGGTCTAAGTTCCTGGATGACATAGGGGTAGATTTCCTTATGAGGTCCTGCTTTGTCCTGATAGCAAAAAGAAAATTAGGCTAGTGAATATAGATCACCTACTTTAAGTGAACACATTTATTAAATAAAAAGGTTAACTTATTTAGATACAATTCCAGTTAAGTTTCTAATACATTTTGAGAATAAGTAATTGTAAAATGGTTAGAACTGAATCCAGAGAAATTTGAAAGCACTGAGTTACTGGAAAAGAAGGAGGTGATGACAGAATTTTGTGAAGGTAATTAAATGTGCACAGCAGGCTACAGGAATAATTACGTTAACACAGGAAAAGTTTTTTTTAATCTGTCTCCAATTTGAGACCCTAACTGAATTAGCTACCAGCGCTGAACAGATTGAGAGCCTACAGAACCCTTAATTGTCTTACACATTGTAGATAAGGTAATGCAGCATTTGTCCCCTTACAGACCTTGAGCTTCTTTCATTATGCATGTCTTTTCAGAAAAATGTACTTGGAGATTACATATTTTCAGAACAGGAGAGTTTTGAAAAAAACTTACCAGAACATGCAGTTATACCTCTACAAGGGAACTTTAAAAACTTCATGGAAAATAGAATGGAAAGACAATTTTTTTCAATGAACTTTTTGAAGCCCCCTTGTGTTACATGCATAGGTTCCTCAGGGGTAACTACTAAAATTAAAAATGAAAATCCTTGTAGGCATACTTCGTTTTATTGTGTCTTAAAAAAAAAAACCCAAACAGAAACAAAAGCAAACTGAAGGTTTGTAACAACTCTGCATTGAACAAGCCTACCGGTGCCATTTTTCCAATGACATGTGCTTACTGATTAGTGTCTTTGGGCCACATTTTGGAAATTCTCTCAATACTTCAAACTTTTTCATAATGCTGTTATATACTGAATCAACTACAGTATAATGTAAACATAATGTTTTATGTCTGGAAAAGAAAAAATTTGTGGTGGCTCACTTAATTGCTGTGGTCTGGAATAGAACCTGCAACATTGCTAAACCAAACCCAACCCACTGCCATAAAGTCAGTTCTGTATCAGAGGGACACTATATAGGGTTTCTTAAGGAGCTCTGGTAACGTATGGTTACGAATTGGGCTGCGAACCGCAAGGGTAACAGTTCGAAACTATCAGCTGTTCTGTGGGAGAAAGATGAGGCTTTCGGCTCCCGTAAAGATTTACAGCCTCAGAAATCCCGTGCAGAGTCGCTATGAGTAGGAACTGACTCCATGGCACACCACCACCACCACCAAGACTGTCAATCTTTATGGGAGCAGACAGCCTTATTTTTCTTCCACAGGGGGCCAATGGTGTGAACTGCTAACCTTATTGTTAGCAGTCTGGTGTCTACCCTACAGTGCCACTAGAGCTCTTTGCAGGATTGCTGAGGCAGGCTTGTATTTAAAAGTCAATTTATTTGTTCAATCAAATGGGGGAGGGGAGATGGTATATGAATGAGGCTTCAAAAATTTATGGAAATGTTTCTTTTTTTTTTTTTTTAAATCTTTTTATGGTGAATTGGGTGAAAGTATTTACAGAGCAGATACAAACCACAAGGCTGGCAGTTCAAATCCACCAACTGTTCCTAGGAAACCCTATATAAGGTTGCTGAGTCAGAAATGATGCAACAGCATTTAACAACATTTGGCTGAAGGTTGAGTCATGGGGGTGAGTTCATTTCTAGACCTGAAGGTGGGGTGACTAAGGGCCACAGTCTCTCAGATAAGACTAATTTCTCTTTTTTAAAAAATAATTTTGAGTTTTATTATATATTTTGCTCCCACTCCCTCCAGGACCTTCTAATGTGATCCCATTCAAAGCAATTGATAGTGTTAGCTGGGGACCACCTAGTTCTTCCAGTTTCAGGGTGATGGAGACTGATGTTCATGTGGCCCACTAATTCACTGGACTAATTGTTTCCATGTGCCTTGGGTTTTCTTCTTCCCTCTGGACAAGGAGAGACCAATAAATGTACCTTATAGGGTCATCGAGACCCCAGTTGCCAAAGTAGTGTGTGGAACCTGGTCTTTGTGGACTATGCTTAGCCAATAGACCTTGGTGTCTCTCCCCAAGACCATGGTCCTGAGCCCCCAGGTTCAGTGACTCATTCTTTCAAAGTGTTTCATTAAGTCTAAGAAGTTTTCATAACTTTGTCCCCTGTATTCATTTTCATATATGAACCTTTTTAAATAAAAGGAAGTCATAACATACACCATAATGTTTTGGTTATACATCATGAATATTTTCAATGTCAAACATACAAAATTAATAGTTGTGTAGTAATACACTGCTCTGGGAAGTTCCATCTTAAGAAACCTTCTTATTTCTTCATATCACATTTAGCAGAAAGATGAATACCCTTATAGTTAAACAACATATATCCTTAATTATTTCCTTAAGATGAATTCTCAAGTGGAACTGCTAAGCAAAATGGTAGCATGCACAACCTGTAGGTCCTTGATAGATGCTCTCAAACTGCAGAGGGATTGTGACTGCAATGCACATTATCACAAGCTATATCGTTGTTATTGGGCACCACGGAACTCTTGTGACAGACAGAACACCCCACAGGATTTTCTCGGCTGGGATTTTTATAGCAGAAGATTACCAGGTCTTTCTCTGAGGAGTCACTGGGTGTTTTCAAACTATCAACCTTTCTGTTAGCAGTCAATCACTTAACCATTGCACCAGCAAAACTCCTCCTTCTAGCTAGATAAGAACTAATGTTAGGAATTTAACCAATGTCCAATCACAGAATATTTGATACCTAGATCGACTTCCAGAACAACTTTCACAGTTATTTCACTGACCTTAACAACCTCTAGGATGCGAACAGCACTAGCAAAATCATTTAACCGTCTGCATGCCCGCAAAGCAGCATCGATGATTTTGGGTTCTGGAACCAGATCATAGCCAACAAGCGTGTTCATCCCTGTCAAATTAAAAAGAGGGGCCATGTTAGCCTGAAATGTCCTAACTTCAACTACAGCTTAGTTGTCTATATTTTTATTGAATCGTGGCCATGCTTTGTGTGGAGCCTCTATTTGTTATAAAGATCGTTAGCAAATCTAGATGGGAAGATCACAGTGAGTTGGTAGAAAAGAACTATGCAGCAGCATACAGATCAAGAAAAAAGAGAGAGTTCTCTTGAATGCAAATACCGTTTTCATAATAATTAGCTGGTTTCTATTCAAACAAGAAGCCACTTTCAACTCACATCTTTAACTCTTATGCAATGTATATACTTCAGTTGCTTTAAAACAGATTTGATTGGAAAAGAATCTAAAACCGCCAGAAAAATGCTGAAGGGGAGTTAATGAACCCCAAATGAGGACATTAAGGAGATATTATAAAGAAACATTAGAGCACAGAATCAGAAACATTCAACCAAAAAATGATTGGGCATGATTGCTTTAGGCTCTGCACAAAATGACACATCATAAAATTTAAGATTCGCTTAATGGGAACAAAGAATTGCTGTTCTTTTCATTACCTCTACTCAAGACTATTCATTAAGAATTTTCCTGGGTGCAGCATAATGGAGCCATTACATTTCCTGCAGAAGCTTGAAGTACTTTAGGTTTCTTGCTTTCATTTATTTAAAAATATTTAAATAAAGGACACCAGTGAACAAAATGCTTGAATGTAGGCAGAGATGAAATTACCAAACACTTACAATTAGTGACTAGCTTTAATCATTACCCACTTTAATTTTTAAACCTCTCATTGTGAATTGGGTAAAAATTTACAAGAAAGATCAGCTTTCCATTTCACAATATATACACATTTTGTTTCATATGTTTGGCTGCAATTCCCAAAATGTGACATCACTTATCCCACACTTCCTCCCTGTGTTTCCTATTTCCATTCCTCCTCCTTTCTGCTTTTTTTTTTTTTTTTTTTTTAAAATAATGTTTTTATTGTGTGTTGAGAAAAAGTTAACAGGGCAGATCATCAGTTTTACATTCAATATATCATACAACTTGTTTCATAACAATGATTATAATCCCCTCCATGTACCATCAGTTAACAGTATTTCTCTCTATTCATTTTAGCTCTCTTTTTAAAAACACTCAGGCATATATAATAATTTACACCAGCACAGGGCACATTCTGCAAGTCTGCTTCCTGGTCGCCAGTTCTTAGTCCTTCTCTTCCCATGAATCTAGCTGCTCACTCCTCTCTCCATGTTCCCTTCTCTGCCTACATCTCTGGTGTCGCTCCTTTCTGAATTCTTCTGAACATTGTCCTTGGGTAAATGCTGCCCTTTTGATCAAGTGGTTGATTATTTTTCAGTACTCACTTTAAATGGGCATTTACAATTTAGGTCAAAAAAGTTCCTAGCTATTTACGTTGTTGTTATGTGTCGTGGAGTTGGTTCTGACTCATAGCGACCCTGCATAGGGTTTCCGAGGTTGTAAATCTTTATGGGAGCAGACATTTATTCACAGTATTCACATCTTAACTGAGAATAATAATGGGGGGGGGGGGGGGGGGGGTAATCCACTTCAAACCCAGATAAGAGAACCAAAGAGCCACTTATTATCCAAACTGATGCTCACTCTCACATATTATAGCAATGGTCCTCTCTCAGCCAGGCGTTGAGTCTGCTGCCCGAGGAACATCTGGTAATGTCGGGAGGTCATTTTTGGCTGTCTTAAGTGGGGTAAAGGATGATAGTAACGTCTAGTGAGGAGAGGTCAGAAGCTGCTTATCATCCTACAGTCCTTCCCCCAAAGAAATATCAATGGTGCTTGCTTTGGTGTGGTCCTGTGGGTTAATGTACTGGATTGCAAAGTCAGTTTGAACACCAAGGTCGGCGATTCAAGCTCACCAGCTAATCCTCGGAAACCCTATACAGTGTTGCTATGGGCTAGAATCAACTCAACAGCACTTAATAATAACAACATATAAGAAATCCTGGGGAACCCAAAAATTTCCTAATTGCAAGTTGCATGATGAAATCCAATTTTACATGATGCAGGCTTTAAAAATTGTTGCTTTTGATAAGGTACTAGAAGACCATTTGATATTGCTATACCAAATCAGACAAGTATACTTAGGTTCTAATTACCTTTACGCAATTCCCAGGCATCGATATTTGGCTTGTTGAAGTATGTCACCCAGCGAGCATCAAACTCCTCATCTGTCTCATGAGAACCATGGGAGTAGCAGCGAACTGACTGGATAGCTACAACAGGGGGAAAAAACAGTAACAGTGCTAAAAACAGTATTTATTTACTGCATTAAATTTTAAACCTGTAATTTGTGTAAGTCAAAAGGTATTGCTACTAGGATTCCAGTTTATACATGCACAGGTTTATTCCAAACAGAATGTATTTAAATATGGTAGGATGGCTACACATCTGTCCTGGTAGAAGTACAACCAGAAAGCTCCTTAGAAACACATACTTTGGACATATTATTAGAAGGGACCAATCCTTTGAGGACATCATGCTTGGTAAAGGAGTTGGCAGTAAAAAACGAGGAAGACCCTCAATGAGATGTATTGAAACAGTGGCAGCAACAATCGGCTCAAATGTGACAGTTGTGAGAATGGCGTAGGACCAGGCAGTGCTTTGTTCAGTTGTGTACAATTCCATGGCACCTGACAACAACAACAACAGGATGGCTGCATACAAGTTCTCCCAGTAATTAATACACTTGCTTTAGTCTTGCTAAGGTGTCTTCAAAAGAGAAAAAAAAAGAATACTTTTTGTGCCATGGGAAAACCAATTTTGAGATCCAGGTTAAAAGCAAAACTTTAATAAAACCCAGTGAACACCATCTCAAATCACTGAAGCTTTGCAACAAGTTTATGCCCCACAAAAAACATTTCTAAGGAAGGTCAGGTAAACTTTGAAGTTGGGATCTCACATGGTTCGGCATTTTTAATTTTAAGGGAACATCTTGGTCTCAATATACTTTCAGAAATACAAACAATTCAGCTAGGTTCAAGAGCTGCTCATTTCATCAGTCTTTTAACAATATTGACGCTAATGAAGATCATTTTATAGAATGAATTATACCCAAGGACTAAGCTTGGATATAAATCAAGAGCTCAAGATGCAATCACAACAGTGGATCTGAGGGGATCTGCTGGGCCAGTTAAATTCAAGTCAGTTCAGAAGTTATAGCAACTGTTTTTTGGGATCTCTTGATATAGATTTTCACTAAGAACAACTATGGGGACTTATCGACAAGTTTTTTAAAAATGGAAAATTGTATTGGTGAGAAAAAGGCCAGGAAAGATGCATCCAAGAATTTGTTTTTTCATTCTTTGAGGGTAGCAAGGGCTCTGTCCTTATGAGAATCTCACTGGGAAAAGCAACTTTATCCATTCTACAAATCTGGTCTTACTCCTTTAGGCTTCTTTTTGTTCCCCAAACTCAAAGAACACTGAAAAGAAACACAAAATGAACCCCTCAAGGATGCCAAAACTGCATTTTGACACGGTGTAAATCAGAGTGCAGAATTCTTAAGCGAAGAGTTGGAGAGATGGAAACAGTGCCTTGAGAAGGGCAGAGATCTAGGTGGAGGATACATAGAAGACCAATAGCTTCACATTTTGTTATGTTTATTTAATAAAGGTTTGCATGATTTTAAAACAATATATATATACATTTTTATTTACTCTCATGTCATGGCAGGTCGAATAAAATAAATCTCGTGCTGATATGAAAGCTATCTTTAGCAAAGAAAAATAGGAACAAAATATTATATATGTATCTTTTCCCTAGTGGAGTCCTGCTGTGGTGCTGGAGGATAAGCAAGGGACTGCTAAGCTCAAGGTTGGTGGTAATTCAGAACCAACTGGATGGCACTTAACAACAAGAACAAATATCTAATGCTAGCAATGATTTCCTGTGGGAAGTGTTTCTGTTTTATCAACAGTGGTTATATGTGGGAGAGAAAAAATTTATTACTTTATACATATTGCTTGAATTTTTACAAGCAGAGTGTTCATGAAAAATAATGTCCAATTTAACTTTTAAACAAATTTATAATACTCAATAAATTTCTAAATATTGTATGTTCTCCATTAAATTATATTTCTAAATAAATTACTTATCACAACAAAGCCATAGTAATTTTAGATACCCTAAGGAGGAACATGCCCTCTAATCTACTCCCACTGAAAGTGTTTTTATAAGATTTCTAAGAAGTGAGATATTTAAATATAACACTATGAGGAAAATCGGCTTTTCCCCCCTCACTTTAGCATTCTGCTCTCAATCTATGTTCTCTTTGTGTTGTTGTTAAGTGCTGTCGAGTTGGTTCTAACCCATAGTGACTCTGTATAGGGTTTCAAAGGAGCAACTGGTGAGCTTGAAGCGCGGACCTTCTGGTTCAGAAGACTTTGCAGTCCAGCGCATTAACCCACAGCGTCACACCAGGACTCCTTTCTCTCTGTGGTATCTAAGAAAAGCCTTCCTGTTTTTCTGTCAAGGGGACACTGAATCGGGAGTTGGAAAAGCTGGATTCCTTCTAAACAGTTCTCTAATGAGGTGGGGTAAATAGGAAAATTTATCTTTGGGTCTTAAGAGGCAGAAGCAACACAGCCAAGTGCTCAGATACCTTTCGGCTTTTTCTTTACTGCCCCACTCATTAATCTTGGAAAAATTAGCTTATTGTTTCCTATCTGTAAAATGGAAATACTATAATACCTTAGCAGACTGAGTGTTAAATATAAAAAAAGCAAGTAAAATCAGGACTTATAAACATTCCCCAAATTATATTTCTTGTTATACTTAAATTACCACCTTAGCTATATAGCAAAATATCTATCATTAGGCCGCAGAGATTTCAGCACAAACCTCAATCTTTCCAGAGACCTGTATTAGCTCCACAACAAAGTAGGACACGTATATAAAGGACTTGAATCAGCTGTTTTCATTTCCATGACAAGAAAAAAAATGTATTTGATAAATGAAAATATTGAAAACGATATGCATAAATTACATCTCACAACAGAGCAATAGTATGAATCAGGCTGCTAACCTTAGGGTCAGCAGTCTGAAACAATCAGCTGTTTCACAGGAGAAAGATGAGGCTTTCTGTTCCCGTAAAGATTTACAGCCTCAGAAACCCTGTACAGGGTCACTGTGAGTTGGAACCAACTCCATGGCATATAACCACCACCACCACCAAGGAGGAACATGCCCTCTGATGTATTCCTACTGAAAAAAACAGTGTTTTTATAAGATTTCTAAAAAGTGAAATATTTAATAGAACATTGTAAGGAAAACAGGCTTTGTCTTGCTTCAGCATTGGGCTCTATCTCAATGTATATTGAATAAATTTTACAAGATTAATATTTACATTTAATATATCAGAAAACATATCTTACAACAACCTTCTAACCCACTGTTTTCAAGACTTTATAACATACATTTTCAAAACCTAAAGCTGCCCTTAATTCTTAAATGGCACCACTTTGGAAGATAGTTTAACAGTTTCTTATCAAGTTAACATCTATCATATAGCCTGATTCAACTAACTATTTGCCTAAGAAATGAAAATATATGTCCACACAGAAATGTGTATATAGCAGCTTTATTTATAACAGCACAAAAGGAAAACATCGAATGCCCATCAACAGTTGAATGGATAAACATATGAAACATTACTTAGCAACTGGAAAACAAAAAAACCCTATTGCTACAAGCCAACAACATATATGAATTTCAAAGACATTACCTGAAAGAAGCTAGACATATGAGTACATAGTATAGATTCAATTTAGAAGAAATTCTAGAAAATGCAAGCTTATCTATAGTGACACATAAGGTAGATCAGTGACTGCTTGGGGTAGAAGATAGAAAACAGGCAGACTAAAAAGAGGCACAAGGGACCCGTTATGGGGGAATGGAAATGTTTTTATTTTGATGGTGGTAGTTACATAGGATGAATCTAGTAGCTGAATATTGAAAGTGCCTGACTGCTAATCGAGATGTCTGTGGTTGGAACCTACCAGCTGAGCTGTGGGAGAACTATGTGGCAGTCTGCTTCCTCCATATAGATCAGTCTTGGAAACCCTATGGGGAAGTTCAGTTCTAACATAGAGTCACTAAGAGTTAGAAATGACTGGACAGCAATGGGTCAGGGGGTCACATGGGTACAAACTTTTGTCAAAACTCAAACTATACACTTAGTATTTTACTATATATAGATTCATATCTCAATAAAGTTTATTTAAAACACATTGAGAAAAAGTAAAGAACAAACTGGATTTTATATGACAAATTTGGACAGAAATACTTCTCTTAGAACAGCATATGAGTTCTCTCGTGTGAAATCACTTCAGAATTAATTTTGCTTTACAATAAATAGATGCATCTGGGAAAATCTGAACATTTTATGGCCACTGGCTAATGTTTTCCCCCGTGGTTCTATCTAGAAATCAAGTCATAGCTAAGAATCCTTTCTACCAAATATTATTATGCAACTTCAGAGGTATGATTTATCCTCGAGATGTCCCCTAATCCATATTTTTCGTTATAACTTTGATAAAAGATGCTAGATCCTTGAAGAATATGACATTGAAAACTCTGAACCCACTCATTGATATACTTACCTGGAATTCAGGAGTGCACCCCATTCAGTGTTTACAAACTGAGTTGCCTGTGAGAATTTCAGGCCCAAAGATTAAAATGCTGTAGGTCTGGCACATCCAGCTGCCACATTTAAGACATAGGGCTTCGTGCAGATCTAATGGCTGTCTTCATGGGGGTCTTCTCCCAAAGACACAGCTAATAAACTAATGATTCGATATGAAGAATAGCTTGAGGACCTGAGACTTGAACAATGGGTTTTATAAGAACAGGTTTACCCTGCTTTATAATGTCAAAGGAGGCAACTGCATGAAGACATGAGATTCAAGCCCTGATGCTTAATTTTCATCTTAATGAACTTTGCCCATGCTCCCTCCTAACTTTACCAATTCTCTTACTCTTATCCTTTTAAAACAAAATATTGTTCCACCAAATAAAGCACCAATCCAGTTTGAATAAACAGGCTTTTGTCAGTAAATGCTTCTTGAGCTGAAGTGTAATACATTAGCGGTTTTTATACTTGTGCTTTCTCCTTGGGAGAAATGGGTAGGGTGAAAAGAACTTGAGCTTTTGGGGTGGACTAACATGGGTTTTAATCCTGGCTCTAGCATTTACTGGATATGTGATTGTGCAAGGT